TGCCGCCGACCCTTGCAAGGCTTCTGCAACACCCTGTTGAACCAATAGAGCTCTCATCTTTACTCTCCATAGGCCGAAGTCGTTATTTCCATTGAATTTCTCAATGTCGAATTTGACAGAACTCATTGTCGTGGCTAGGATTTCTTCCAAATGAATTTTACCTGCTGCCCTTCCAAGAACTAGACTAAAATCACCAAAATGTTGTACTATTGTATAACAACCAAAATTTTTCAGCCTAAACTTGCCTTTTAACGCCTTGCTATCCAAGAAATTCTCAGCAAATTTCTTACCTTCTCCCCATGAACTCTATTTCCTTCATCAACCGAACGGAGAGCTTCGATCCCTTCTGACAGAGATCACACCTGTTCACCGGAGAACACTTCCTGTTCTGTGCTCGCGCCTCCTTCCCGCAGGCACTCCTCTGCGTCCAGCGGAACAAATCAGGAATTCCTCCTCTGCCTCTCACACGAGCCTCTCACACGAGAATAACTGTGCCTCTCCAGAGCCGTCGCGCCTCGCCAAACTGCTTAGGTCCTCCTGCTTCGCGAACTCCCGAACAGGTAACTCCTTGAACCCTTCTCTGCATGACCTCCACCTCTTCCCTCTGGCCGAGTTGCTAGCAAGACCGAACTCCTGCTTCGAAATCCTCTACTGGCAACCTTGTCGCAAATTTTTGGCCCTCACTCACGGACTGTTCCTCCTCCGTCTCGCCGAACCGCACAACCCACAATGCGAATCCAGTCGATCAAAGCTTCCACTGTTCACCAATTCTATCACGATTCGGTTGTCTGCGACGCGATCTGCTTGCTCCTCTTTTCGTGTATGCCGAACTCCTCTTCTTCGTCACTGGCCGCGAACAAATTTAAGCGGACACCCTTGTGAGATATGTACTTCCTGGCATAGAAATAAAACACAAAGAACACAAGCAAACACAGATCGTTTACGTGGTTCGATCCAACAGGATCTACGTCCACGGGAGGGAATCAATCAAATAGTTCACTAAGGCAAAAGAAATAGCTTATACATAGAGATGAGCCATCATCTTCCTTCTATGGCCTCCCTCTCAAGCGACACATTGATACAAGGCCTCAAGATGCTCTCCTCCTCTCTAGCTCTCTTGCTATTCTCTCCTCCTTTGTGGTATCTCAAAATCTCTTCCCTTGCTCTCCTAAGCCTCACACCCTCTCTATTTATAGAAGCAAGAGAGGGGTAGGTGGGAGGAGGTGAGCGGTAGGTGAGCGGTAGGTGAATGGTTGGTGAGATGTGGTAGGTGAGCGGTACCACATTACAAAAGTATCATTTTACCTTAGTTCATTAATTGTGGGTCAAAATAACAGTAGTCAAATAAATAATTTATAAAAATTGTGTAAAATCAAACCGGCAGATGAATGATTAGTAAGATTTATTTGCCTAAATTGCATTTGTAACAAGATGCTTCTTATTTTACTTCATTTTTCTTTTCTCTTTTCTTGGCATGAAGGCCAATTGTTCTCAGTATTAAGTTTTGGCCAATATTCTATTTTTTGTTTTTTTATATTGTACTTCTATTGTAGTTTCTATGATATGCATTGAACAGCAAAAGAGCACATCATATCATTACATATCTAATAGCACCCACAATTGTCATTCACTTACATATCTAACCCTTCAATTTTATCTTTTTATATTCATACCCCCCAAATCTTTGACACATCACATCATAAATATTATTATTCTAATTTTTAAATAAGCAAATGCATTTTTTTTTTCATTTGTTTCTAAGGATTGGGATTGGCTTAATAATGCATATCATGTGACTGGCGGTGGCGGTGGAAAGATATAGGTTGAGCACAAAGAGCAGATGGAATCTGACTATTTTTGTTCTCCTCCCACAATTGCGTTGATGGGAGTTGCAGTAACATTTGCTGGTCTGGGGAAGATTGAATTTTTCTATTATCGAGCACCTGAAGGTTTGAAGAGCTTGGGGACTTCATTCTTCTCTTCGAGCATGGGGATTGGGTGCTTCATCAGTAGGTTTTTTCTGTCGGTGGTGACGAAGTACACCATGAAGGGTGGAAGGAAAGGATGGATTCTGAACGACCTGAATGAATCTCATCTGGATTATTACTATATATTATTAAATGCTCTTAATTTTCTGTTGTCCTTTGTTGCTGCTAAATTTTACATCTACAGTTGTGATGCTGTCCGTTCGATGGATGAGCAGACAGAAGGTGTGATAGAAACTACAAACGCTGCCAACAAATGACGATGATGATAATGATAATGAAGAATTCTTGATATAGAGACAATAACTTATTCTTGTATGTACTTTGAACTTTGAAGAATTATTTTTCTTGATATATGATATATTAATTGTTTTGGCAAATTGACGAAGGTTCAGAGTTTCAATTATTAAAATATCGGGCCAAAGTATTAGCATGTCAAAAGATATTTTATTAATTTATAGAAGCTGGTAGAATTCTTACACGTATAGTATATTTTAAGTTCCTTAGAACAGATTCCATAAAAAAAGAGAAATTTATGTTAAGGACCACACAATTTTTGTGGATTTACATATCGAACACTTGAAGTTTGATATTTGTTGGGATGGATTATACACTTAGGGTTTCGATCAATAGAAATCAAAATCATACCGCAAAATAAAATCACAAAAATTCAAAAAATTTGAAACAAAAATTTGAACATAAGCACAACATAAAAATCCCAGAAAAAAGCACGTCAAGATTTACGTGGAAACCCCTAGAACGTGGAAAAATCACCGATTCACCTCAATAAATTTCACAATGAATGGGAGAAACTTACAGATTACATAATTCAATTCTTCTCCCTAGCTACAAGCATATGAACTTACGGAATTTCGCTCCAAACATTCCTCTCAATCTCACAAGAGAAATCTGAAATCATCCTCCCAACAATCCACGTTTATAAAGAAGTCATTGTCAAGAAGCAATGCACGCAATAGATCGAGAGTCACTTTTGTCGCTCGAATTGAAGCTTAGGAACCAAACAGGGAGGAACAGTCCGACAGTATGACCACACCCAAATGGGTTGTAATCATTTCACCCACTTTGGAACAAAATTTGAAACGACAGAGCCCCGCACCGTGGTTATGCTCACTGTGGCGGAACACCTCCGCCTGCGTAGCTACAACTGTTTTAGACATGGCTACGCCAAGCTTAGGTGCATGTGGGTCTGCATGGAGAAGGTGGAGTGCTCGTAGGTGCTTCTTCAGGCTTCATTTCATAATAATCTCTCACTTGAAGACTAATAGCACCCAACACTTGTCTTTCATATATGCATCTCCAGCTTTATCATCTTTATAATCCAATGTTGTGGTGTGGCTAAACCTCAGTATCAAATTTGCTGGACTCCAACTGAGCCAAGCATAACTTCAATTTCTCAAATTTCACCACCTTCGTCAATATATCTACAAAATTATGAGCTACGTGCAACTTCTCCAAAAACAACTTCCCATCACTTGGAGAGACCATATAAAATGATACTTTAGTTGAATTGATGTATTCTATAAGATTCCAAACCATCAATTTATAGTGTCTTTTCTTTTAGACAATAGGTCGATGAATTAATTTTCTTCTTGCAGGATATGTTCAATCTGGAAATGCTCGAGTTTGCTTTTCTTCACTTTAGCTTTCAGGTATTTAATCATTGTTAATCCCTCAGTTCAAATTACAACAAGAAAAATCACGAGAATTTGTGGAAAAATTTATGGCTTTTCACACGTAGGAAAAATTATTCTAATTACCGATGGTTTTTAATCTTAATTATTTTTGATGACATAACTACAACATAGCCCGTCAATTATCAATAATATTTTATGTCCCGTCAGTTTTAATTATAGCCAACAAAATAATCCGCCAATTATAAGCAAATATTAACCGACGACTATAGTTTGTCGATTACCTTTGAACCCGCAGTCAGACATGATTTTAACTGATGCATTTTATTATTAAATGATGGGAAAGGCCATCTAGCTGCGAACGCAGCGACACCATCATAGCTTACAATGACCTGGAACTCTGAATTTTCTCTTCTTTCAGCTCCACTAGTACCCGAAACGACCGGGGAAGGTAACTTATTATCTTCATTATCGTTTTATTTTCATTTTCTTTGAAGAATGTGCTTAGGGTTTAGCGACTAGGAAATTTGCCAAAAAGTTTTCTATTTCAGCTGCATTATATCTAGGGATGTGAGTTTAGCTTGAACATAGTTAATCGCTCAAAGATTGATTCGAATTTAGCTCGGATTGAGATCAGATCGAAATAAACGAGCCGAGCTGGCTCTAAGACCGTTAATCGCTTAAAAAATTGATTCAAAATTTGAATTGGATCTTGTCGGATCGAAATAAATGAGTCGAGCAATGAGCCAAAATTTTGGATCGAATTTTATTTCAAGCCGATTTTGTTCTGACCCAACTCGCCTCGATGTCAGATTGTTAACGGTCGTAACTGCATTAGAGATCAGCTTTATACACATACGTTTTTGCTTAATTTATGGATGCTCTTACTAGACATTTATAGAAGAATGCACCTTTATATATGTTTTTTGTTGGCAATATCCTTCTCGTGGATAAAACTAGATAAAGAGTTTAGAAAAAAGCATAAATTATGGAGGTCGATATTGGAGTCTAAAGTCCTTCGTTTGAGTAGATCTAGAACTGGATACTTAAAATGACATTTTAGTAATAGTAGCTTTAGTGGCAGAGTTGTAATTATGAGTGATCAAATCATTTAAAATGTGTGAATGCTCTAGATATCTCGAGTCTCTTGTTCAAAGTGACGGTGATATACATGGGGGGATGTGATTAGCTAGTAGATTTCAAGTTGGCTAGTTGGAACTAGGACTGTCAATTTGGCTCGTTGTTCACATACAACTCGTGTTCGGCTCGTTAAGCAGCTCGTGTTTGGCTCGTTCGTTAAGCTTAACAAGCAGAACACGAACAAATTTATAAGCTCAAAATATAAACGAGCCGAACACGAATAAACATTTGTTCGCTCGTGTTCGGCTCGAATTGACTCGAAAAGAAAGAAATAAATAAATATACACACACATACATATAATACATATTCATAAAATTAAATATTATAACTTATAATTAATTAAAACTTTTTAAAATAAAAAAAATTTATCAAATTTTAAAAAATTAAATGCTATAAGTTATAATATATAACAAATTATTAATAAATATTACTTATATAAATATTATATATTTATATAATATAAGTTATATAATTAATATAATATAATATATAAGTATAAAGCTAAAAAAACCCCAACTCCTAAGCCCCAACCTCCCTCTGGAATGTTCTCGGGTTCGGCTGCCTCTCCCTCTTCCAAGTCCTCTCCAAGTCTTCTCCTCCTCTCAAAATCCCGAAAGGCGTTCGGCCGCGAGAGTTTAGAGTTTGTTGTTTGTGTTCGTTGCTCTCAAAAGTTCTGTTTTGGCTCTCTTTTTCTTCCGAGTCATCTCCTTCTCCTCTCAAAATCACGAAAGGGTTTCGACGGCGAGAGCTTAGGGTTTGTTGTTTGTGTTTGTCTTACTCTTCCTCTTCCTCTTCCGAGTCATCTTCCAAGAGCTTAGGGCTCTCTTTCTCTTACGAGCCATCTCCTCCAATTTCGAGCCGAACTTGAGTCGGAAAATATTATTTGAGCCAAACAAGAACACACAGTTAACGAGCCATTTCGAACACGAGCTGATTTCGAACACGAGCCGACACTGAGCTCGCTGAGGCTCAGCTCGTTTAAAACCCTAGTTGGAATCTACATCATCTCGGCTCGAAGTCGGATTGTTTAAGATCATAGTATGTTAGTAATGTCGAATATCTTTAAATGATCAAACATTGACTCGTAATTGATTAAGACATCTCCCTCTAATAGTGTATACCACTGTAGCTACAGTAGCACGCTCACAAATATATTGGTCATATTTTGTCTCCAAGTGAAAATCCAATCGCAAACCCTATATGGATAACTGGCTTTACACTTGTAGATAAAATGTGAACGAAAAATAGTTGTGAATGAGTTGGTGTAACTATGTTGACAAATAATATTATAAATAAAATATTAATAAATATTCGCCGATTATCGTTATTCGACAATCCTAAGAGCCTAAGGCTGTTAACGTTTTGATTTTTACCTTAACTGTTTTTTATTTTAGATTTGGAAATCATTCCTTAACCTTTAATATTCAGATATATGTATAGAAGTTTTCAGAATCTCAAATATACTTGTATAGAAAACAAATGTACGAAATAGACTGATTCATCTCATCCTTATATTACACCAAAGTTGTATGAATAATTCAAGCTCTATTTAAAGAGCAGCGGTTTATATCATTTATGCAAAACCATGTATGATGCAATTTGTATCAACTTCGAAATGAATTTAAATTGATTATTTTTTGCCATGTTACAGGTTTGTTGCATACATACATGCATATATATATATACATACATACATACATACATACATACATACATATATCTGAACTGTAATTAACCATTTATATGCTGATGTGTTTGGTCTAAGTAATCTGCTCGCTACTTGACTAATCTGTTGTTGCTATACTCCATAACAGTAAATGTTGTTCAGTCCATATGGAATCAAGTACTATTGAAGTCAACTTGCTTATTTGATAGTCTAAACTTATAGCTGAGTGTTGATTGAGCTGATTTCAGCAATTCATATTAAACTCATAGCCGCAACTAATATATCTTAACAAATTTTTACGATATTCTGAATTTTTTTTTGTGACATGCATAGTGTCTAAAACAAAATGTACAAGTACCTTTGTTTTTATATGCTTGGATTTCAAACGAAGGTTTCATTATTTTCAGGTTTGCAATGTATATACATACATATATCACTCAGAATAAATATACGTGCAGGTTTTGTAGTTTCTCTTATGCTTTCAATTTTTATATACAGATTTTTGTAATCAGTTATATTCTTTCACATATTTACGTACATACCACCCAATTCCTATGTATTTACAAATCTAACACCAAAATTTTGTTTTTACATTTATGCCAATTAAATCTTTCCTAACACATAAAAAGATATATACTCTGCTATTGTGATCTTTAAGAGAAAACGAAATGAAAGAAGTGCATTTTCATAAACAAGGAGGCATATATTTCACAATGAAAGTTTGGATGCTGGATATATAAATACATAAAGACTGTGAGATATGTAGGTAAATATCTCATAATGTTGATGGGGTAATATCTAAATATGAAATTCGGGCCTTCTATTATCCTTCATTATAGTGATGTGCACAGCTTCAAACAATCTATTTTATCCTTAATGCCTGAATTTGATTGTCTGAGGATATGAGTATATTATTGGAAAGATTGTACGCATAGCATACAATGTTTATATGTATATACTTAAATTTTGACTTTTAAACTCAAAGGTGGATGATTTGTATTGTAGAATTAATTGGAAATCCATTTCCTTAGGTCTTATGATGTGAGATAGTTATAATTGTTGGGAGATTCATATTGATTATCGGATTGGCTTATAAGTTGGAAGGTTTAGGGTTAAGGGCAACGATGCGAAACACTTCTGGTGCTAAAAAACAAGATAATAGAATAGTATCTTCTGACCCGATGACCTCGTAAGGGTGCAGGATTGACACTACTATTCGCCAACATTTGGTGAGAAGTTGCCCGTGCTTTCCTAGGCTGCTGGTAGCTTTAGCCCAATAACGTGACTAACTCGTGGACCATCAGATTTACAAAACACATATATAATATAAAAAAATCTTTTTTCCTTGTGACACTAATATTTTTTTGACTGGTAACTGAAAGTTTAACTATATTTATACGCATGACAAATTAAAAATTTTAAGTGTTACTTTCCACAAGTCTATTTGTTAGTCACCTTGATTGGGCTAGGAGTTGCCCTCTTTTTATCATCTCATTGGTAACTTATATCTGAACTTAGATTTTATGCACAGAGATTGCTTATGGTTGCCTATAGTTGTCCCTCGAGAATTAATAGGGCCTCTGGTCCCGAGTCTGAGCCCACACCTAGTTTAAATTCTTATACCTAGCTCCGATATTTCGTATATGTGCCACTTGACTTTTTATATACACATATGCTCATTTCTTTTGTATTTGTTTTATCTTGCGTAACACTTGCATGCTTTACTTGTAATTTTAACTCTTTAGTAGCGGCGTCAGAGATGAAAGGTATGCATTACTACTTTCTTTTTTAATGTACTTTCCTTATTGTACATTATTATATGTGTTCTAATTTACTATATATGTAAAAGACCCATAGGATATAGGACAGTAGACCACTTGTTTAGGAGGAACCCAATAGCAAAATTCAGCTACCTAACAATAGTGAATATTTGTCAATTCAAACACACTTTTTAGGACCCCAAAACCGTCACAATGAGGGGCCCAGGGAAAACTCTTTATGCAACAAAATGAGGATTCAAGCAAGCAGCGGACAACTTTGGACGACGATCAAGATGGAACAATGAAGTGAATAATGAACCTCATTTAAACTTTACTTAGATTTAAATAACATAAGCCCTTAGGACTTCAAGGTGATTCATCTAACACGACATAAATCCTCACACCATCTTTAGACTTTCGTACGATCGTGTGTCGTGTGATATAAGCTCTAACTTCTTTTAGGATTATGAGATTGTGCATTCAGTACGACATAAACCCCCTATCTCCTTAGGTTGTTGGCATGATAGTATATTATGCAGGTGTAAGCCCTAAATTTGAATGAATGGTAGTAGTAAGAATTAAATAAAATTATTTAAAAAATGCAAAGTCAATCAATATGATAGTTTGAGAGGTCATTGAGGTTCTTCTCAGAATTTATGCATCCCCTACCTTTCGCTAATTTGATTTCAAAAATAATAGTTCCTATTTGAACCCTTCCCACTTGAATTTCCCATGTCCAATCTTGAAAACTAAACTTTGAATTCTTGAAGAAACCCCATATCTTAATCGAGAGTTTTCATTGATGACTTTGATTGCATGAAATGTAATTAGCTATAGAGGCATGCGCCTATGGGAGAATTAGTAATCTAGATAATCTAAACACTGCCTAATCTTTATATTAGATAGAGAAATTGTCAGTCATACATTTCACAGAAAAAATTAGAGTCATAAATTTCTTATTTTAAATTGTTAAGCCCACTAGCAAGTGATATACTTATCTTTTGATATGGTGTATCACTTATGGTATTGTGCTTAATTATCTAAATTACTAGATATATGAGATTTATCCAGTCTCATTTTTTAAAATTAAAATACTACTTTCAAAATCAAAATTATATACAAGTTAAATTAAATATATTTTCATAAAAGAAAAAACAATCAACCGACAAATGTTTTTAGTTGAATGCTTTTCATAATGTGTTTATTATTCTTACGTTTGGATCGTGCATGTACAACATGATTTATCTGAATAGAAAAGAGATTACCCAAGGGTTCTTGAATGATGTCGAGAAAATTGGGGCAACTGTTTCTCAACTGTCAATTTACCCATATGATGGTAGGTTTTAGTGTCCATATTCGAAACACAGAAATTGAGCACACATAAAGGCTGAAAAAGTGAAATTTGATCTATACCATTAGGAATTTTAGCTAGAATACTGGATTTGAAATTCACATGGGGAGGTTAATTCTATAACATTTAGCTCCAATCCTTTGAGGAGTTATGATCCTCTGCATGGATTTAATTCAAGCAGATTTGATAAAATGTATTTGATGAAACAAAACATCATTATGCAAGCCAAGCGCAGTGGAAAGAGGTACCAAATCTTGTGGCTCAGACGTTTTATGATTTATTGAATGCTGCTTAGAGGGCACTGTGAGATAGTTGCACGTCTCATTCTGAGTTATATGTAGCTCTTAGAATGTTGAATATCAAAATAGAGTACAACATGCCTCAAAAGTGCTTCAATCAGTTTGCAGGCCTGTTGAAAGAGATTAATCCACTTGAAGATTTAGCCCATGAGGATATGCACATGACGAAAAAAGTTGGTCTCCAAGTTAGGGCTTAAAGCAGAAAAGATTGATTATTGTGTAAACGGATGTATGCTATATCACAAGAGTAGCACGATGGAAGCGCAATACAAATTTTGTAATTCTTTTAGATTCAAACCTCAGAGCAGAAAAAATAAGAGGCTGAAGGAGTTTCGTTCAAGTGGCTCTTTTATCTACTACTTATTCCACGTCTATAGAGGTTATATAATTCTATGCGTATTGCTCCACATATGACTTGACATTAGAGTAGATCAGAAGAAAATAACTCAACACGTCATACATCAAATGGGGAGGCGTGAAAATTTTTTGATCGCTCATATCTTGAGTTTGTTGTGGAGGCACGTAATGTCCGACTAGATTTATGTTCTGACAGCTTCACACCATACAATCAGACCGCATTGTCCTATTCTTGTTCGACGGTGATTGTTATATCAGACAATCAGCCACCTGAGATGTGCATGACAACTCTTTCTTCTTCCTAACACTGATTATACCTGGTGCCAGTAGCTCTAAAGAGATGATTGATGTATACTTCTTGATGAAAGTCAGATTGTGTATATTCTTAAAATGATTCTTTTATTTATGAAGAAGATAGCACAATGATGATATTACATTTTTATCCAAGTTTAGGAGGGGTCCATTCTAAGGTATTTCTGGTAGTTTACAAGTGTGGGCTTAGCGTCTAGCTTCCTTTTGGATTGACCGACTAAGTTTAGCTGACCTTGAGTTAACAAGTTCAGCTCGGTCGGCTGAGCTTAGTTGATATGGTTCGTTCGGTTGATCTAGACTGGTTGTCTGTCTTCGACTCCTTGTGAGGAGTCTTAATTTGGAGTCACCACAGAATGGTAAGGGGAGCTTTACAGAAATAGATCCTCATTTTGATTGGCTTTACTAGATGATAGACTATTGCATCAGGCCGACTTTCTTGTATTGGATGGCACTTATGCTCTTTTGTCTGGTTTCTAGTTGGATGACTTGTGTTGGGATCATTTGGTCATCTTCCTATTCACCATGTGATTTAATTAGCTTTGCCCTAGTTATCGTGGCTAGTATGACATTCCTCATTCGGTTAGATGGGCCTCACGATCTTGATCAGGTAGATCGTACCCTTATCTTCTGAACCATTTGTTCTCTTTAATAATAGTGCAGAAATCATTTTGATGTACACTTTTTAAAATTTTACTTTGTTGGATTTAATTAAAAATTATTATTTATATTAGATAAAAAAGTTTTATTTTAATTTTATTTAGCTTGTGGCTCAAAATGATGTGAAGTCTATCAAGGCGGGAGGCGATTGGCTGATAGTTGCAATGCTCTTTATTTTAAAAATATTTAAACAACTGGAAAGATTTCACTACTATTTGATATTGTGCAAGTCAAGTAAGGCGGGAGTTGGAATGTTTAAGAGAATATAGTTATTTACTTTCAAAATATAAAAATCACTAGCTTAAGAAAGATGAAGTGAAGTCTTTTAACTCAGCAGACTACACTTCATAATTAACGTCATATTTAATAAGATCATGACTTGTTAATCGGACATTTTGAAGCACCCAAAAAAGAAAAGAAAATGCCACATCAGGAAGCTACTTCCTGTCCTATTCGATATACTCTTCTTCTACAACTGTTTAGCACTGGCAGCTGATAAATGGCACGCTACAAATTTTTAATGAAGGTATCGTCTTACGATGGCAACAATTCCATTTTTTAAATCCCTGCTATCGTCGATACAGTCAAATGAATATTATAGAAATTGTGCAAAATCTAACCGGCGAATGAGTAATTAGTTGGATTTATTTGCCTAAATTGCATTTATAATAAGATGATTCTTTTCTCTTTTCTTTGCATAGAGACCAATTGTTCTAAGTATTAAATTTTGGCCAATATTCTATTTTTTGCTTTTTTGTTTTTTTTATCATGCACTCTTATAATTGTTTCTATGGCATGCATTAAACAAGAAAAGAGCATACCCAGTTGTGGTAATTGAAAATTGAAGTTTTGGTAGTACATATGTGAATACATAGGAATTGAGGGGTGCATATTCAAACATTTCCTTACAAAAGTAAGCAAATGGAGGAGGAGATAATGATTTGGTTTACACGTACGCTGATTTCTATATAACGGTGCATTAACTTCTTTTATTCCTTAAAGACAAACCTGAGATGGAAGCCTGTACACAGGTAACAGGCGGCTTGTTCTGTGAAGAGGAAGAGCGCACGAAAGATGGAACTGTGGATCTAAAAGGCCGGCCTTCTCTAAGATCAAAGGGAGGAAGATGGATTTCATGTTCCTTCATTCTTGGTGCGTAAATTAATTTATAGCAGTTTTTTTACATGCATGTATCACTTAATTCTAGCTTTCTACACCGCTGCATGGACTTGGGCATGCAGCCAATGAGATTAATTAGACTCCATGTATAATCCTATCTTTGGTAGCAATTATATTTTGTCATGCATCCTGGGATATATATGCAAAAGAGTTCCATAACATATAATGTTCCTTGCAGCTGCTGAAGTGCTGGAGAAAATAACTTATTATGGAGTTGCAGCAAATTTGGTGGTTTATCTTACAAATGAGCTTCATGAAGGAACTCAAAGTTCTGCAACTAATGTCTCTAATTGGATGGGCGTCATGACCATGACACCCATTTTTGCTGCTTTTATTGCAGACGCATATCTCGGTCAATTCTTTACCATAATCAGTTACTTTGCGATCTACCTCTTGGTATATACCTGCAATTAATTAATTAAGATGTATAGTATAATGTATGTAATCGGTACTTATTTTAATGAATTAAAACCAAATCAAATCATGTTGCAGGGCATGAGTTTGTTGACCATTACAGTCTCACTTCCATCGTTGAGGCCATCCCCATGCAATTCATCAGACGTCGATGTTTGTAGAAGCAAGGTGAAGAGGTTTCAGGTTTTCTCCTTCTTCTTCGCACTTTACATCATAGCAATTGGAAGCGGAGGAACGAAGGTGAATTTTGGAACATTTGGAGCAAACCAATTCGACAAATTTGATCCGAAGGAGCGAACCCAAAAGACATCTTTCTTCAACTGGTGGGTATTTGCCATGTCGGCTGGGAATCTCTTCTCAACTATAGTTGTGGTTTATGTACAGCAAAACGTAAGCTGGTCAATTGGGTACACCATTCCTACCGTTTCTGTAGCCCTTTCCTTCCTCATATTCGGGGCTGGCACGCCGTTTTATAGGCACATGGTGCCTGCAGGTAGTCCGTTCAAGAGGATAGTTAGGGTCTTGGTGGCTTCCACTAGGAAATGGAGAGCATCCCTCTCTGGAGAATTATGCGACTTGGATGTAGAGAATTACAAGTCCAAGTCAGGCAAGTGCAGAATCAACCACACACTCTCACTGAGGTTGGTATGAATTTTCTATTATTAAAATTGAGATGACATCAACAACGCCTTGGCTCTATTTATAATTGTCAGGTTTTTGGATAAAGCAGCTGTGGAGACTGGGGAGTCAGCTAGTCCATGGATGCTCTGTTCAAAGACAGAGGTGGAACAAACCAAACAAATCATCAGATTGCTGCCCATATTCATTGTAACAATCATGCCAAGTGTGATGCAAGCTCAGGTGCTCACTCTCTTTATCAAACAAGGCATGACATTAGATGGCAGCTTTGGTCCTCACTTCGACATACCACCTGCAAGTCTCTCAGCCGTCTTCGTCCTCAGCACCCTAGTCAGCCTTGTGATCTACGATCGTTGGCTCGTTCCATTTGTCAGGAATTACACCAAGAATCCGCGCGGGTTTCAATTGCTTCATAGGATTGGGATTGGCTTAATAATGCACATCATCATCATGTGCCTAGCGATGGTGGTGGAGAGATATAGGTTAAGCACAAACAGCAGATCGAATCTGACTATCTTTATTCTCCTCCCACAATTTGCGTTGATGGGAGTTGCAGAAACATTTGTTGCTGTGGGGAAGATGGAATTTTTCTATGATCAAGCACCTGAAGGTATGAAGAGCTTGGGAACTTCATTCTTTTCTTCGAGCATGGGGATTGGGTGCTTCATCAGTGGTTTTCTTCTGTCGGCGGTGAACAAGTACACCACGAAGGGTGGCAGGAAAGGATGGATTCTGAACGACCTGAATGAATCTCATCTCGATTATTACTATATATTCTTAGCCATATTAAATGCTCTTAATTTTCTATTGTTTTTTCTTGTTGCTAAATTTTACGTCTACAGTTGTGATGCTGTCTGTTCGATGGATGAGCAGACAGAAGCTGTGATAAAAACTACAAACGCTGCCAATAAATAACGATGATGATGATGATGATGATCCATATGTGCATATAGAGATATTAACTTGTTCTTGTATGTATTTTGAACGATTCATATGTGCATATAGAGATATTAACTTGTTCTTGTATGTATTTTGAACTCTGAAGAATTATTTTTCTTGATATATAATTTATTAATTAGTTTTTGCAAATAGACAAAGGTACAGAGTTTCACTTATTCAATTATTGGGTCAAAGTATTAGCATTTCAAAAGATATTTTATTAATTTATAGAAGCTGGTAGGATTCTTACACATATAGCATATTTTGATTTCATAAGAACAGATTCCATAAAAAAGGAGAAATTTATTTAAGGACCACACAATTTATATGGATTTACATATCAAACACTTAAAAGTTTGATATTAGTTGGGATGGATTATACACTTAGAGATTTGATCAATAGAAAACAAAATCATACTGCGGAATAGGAACACAAAAACATGAGAAATTTGAAACAAAAATTTTAACAACAAAAAAATCCTACAAAAAAGCATGTCAAGACTTGTGCGGAAATCCCCAAGAACGTGAAAAAATTATGTAGCTCTATCCATGGTGGTTCTATCATTGGTGGGCCTTGTCCGCGAGCCACTGATCCTGATAACCCAATGTGCGTCCTTGATTCGGCTTGAGTATGAGATCCGGACACATCCCTTACTTCTTGCATAGCCTTCATCATCTGCTTTTCAGCTCTTTGATTTACTAAAACATGATTTCTCTTGCGTATAAACTTCAGGAATAAAAGATATTCTTGTAGAGTTTTGTGTATGAAATTCATGTTCACAACACCTTTCGGGATGCTGACTTATTTTGAGATATAGGGTCTTGTATTGCTCTTAATTGCATACAACCTAATAAAAATCATGTATCACAAAGAGAAAATGAGAGAGAGAGAGAGAGAGAGAGAGAGAGAGAGAGAGAGAGAGAAGGATGGGTAACCTCAAACAATGCATTCAATTTTTATCACTAGTAAGCTAAACAAATTTTGTCTCCCAGATGTTCCCTGAGTTACAAGATTTAAGAGAGAGAAAGTGAGAGGAATTCTCCTTTAGAAAAAGTACAAAATTCGACACCTATCTCATTTTGCTTCCCTTTTATAAGCATTGTTGAAATATAATTAAATAACAATTGATATACATTTCATATTGTACGATGTCTTTCCCCGTTGTCTTGATGAAAAAACAGCAATGTTGCTGTCAGGTGGTGATGGTATAATGCCCATCTCTAGTGCCTAGGTTAAATGACTGAGTAACAAATGTCAGGCGACACTTTTAATAATGGATTTATAGATGTTCTTACTTGTCATGATGACCCTATCCGGCATCTGTTTTCACACATGTGAGCTAGGTCTTTCAAGTGGAAGGACTTTAACCACTTCAGTAGATGAGCTCGATTTAGTCACTTTAGCATATAGAATCAATTAACCACTTTGACAGGTGAACTTAATTTAGGAAAATAAGTGAAATTCTCATATAACCGTATTTGTGTTTACAAGTAGCTTGCTTGTATAATTATTCATTTAGTTTCCATTTCATTATATGTTGTTCCACCTCATTGTTAGGTTGTAATTATAGTTTTGATTGTTAATAAAATTGTTATTTTCCTTTTATTTATGCTAATAATTTTGATTCATCACTACTTGGTATAAATTTTCTTTTGTGCACATAAAACATGGTTTTATATTCTGTCTTCATGCCCCATGTTGTTTGTGTGCTTCATCTTTATGACTTGGGTGCACTGTCTTACATACCTGAGTATGACAATTGCAACCTCATAAGCTTTATGCTCAAAGGGATGTTGAGCGAGTGTATCTTTGGAGAGGGAATATGTTCCATGAAGAAGCTTTTTAGCTGGTGGGCTTCTTACACAGTTTGGTCGTGAGTAGATGATTTATGTGGGAGGACATCATGAGCTTTTTTTGCTATTGAGCTTATTACAAATAAGCTAAAAAGATTAAAATGTGAAAATTTAAAATGATAAAAAATTACTAATTTTTTTCCCTTTACCCAATTGCTTAAAATCTTAAAAATTTTAAATTTAGTATATTTATATTTATATTTCTAACTATAATCAAACAACCGTTAAAGTTGTGTGTTTTCAAGAACTGAAATCAAACGAGTGGTATTTGTAAGCCATCTCTAGATATGCCATCCATATTAGTATTAATCATTATTGACACATGTTAGTGATCATTTAAGAAAAGATGCATCAACATTGATAAGTTCTACTTTTTATATTTTCAGAAAAGTTTAAAATTATGCTAAAATTTTATCCCAAATCCTGTGTCATTAATGCTGATGTCTCCTTTCTCACAGTTAAAAAATGATTTAAAATTGGTTTTCCCAAATAACGTTTTCATGTATATGTTTTTGACAATAGTTATAAAAGTAAGTATGAAAATTTGAGTGATAAAAGTGTAAATACTTTAGAGAAGTGTGGTATGCTCAGAAATTTTCCATATTGCCACTTGGTGGTGACTGAGTATTGCATGCCGCAACTTAATTTAATATATTGCAGATTAGAAGTTTCCAAATGCCAGGACGTTGCAGGATAAAATTAACGACAACATTTTTCTAAATTTTTTTTCTTCTGCTTGTTAAACTCAAGTAAAATGTGTGTCCTCGATTCAGCTCCAGCATGAGGTCTGGACGCTTCTCATACTTCTTTCATGGCTTTAATCAGCTCACTACGGGAATGTTATTGATTTCCGAAAGTCTCAGTCCGTCCTTTATCAATGAATAAACCATGGCTTAACTAGAATTGCAACAGATTGTCGGCTGTTTTAAAGCCGTAGCTAAAATACTTATCAGTAATTTATAAATTGATGATACTTTCGATCACATTTCTTTGCTGACGTCTTTTCGACACACATGGGTTGTCGTTTTTTAATAATTCAAAGAGCACAAGACCACCGTATATTACTATTGATTTTTAATAGCCGACGAGTTAACCGTCGAAAATTAACAATCGGTTAACCATCGAAAAAGTGTGGCAGCTGTCGTATTTATGACTTAGAGGATGTGCTGATTAAGTGTCGAGGGTGTGTCGATATTTTAGCCGATGAGGAGGCCATCATTTAGCAGACGATTTTTATCAAAGCAATATCAATCGAATACTTGTCGGTAACGGGATCCTAATATAACCGAATGTTTAGGCCCTAAGTTAGGGCAACAATTAATGGAATATTTGTCGGAAAACCATTTTATTTCCTCCTTTGTCTCCTCATCATTCTCGTCCTCCTCCTCCACGAATGATGCCTTCCTCTGCTGCTTTGCCTGCTGACGGATGCATCTAACTCCCTTGTTTGTTAAACTATTCAATTTAGAGCCGTGTGGGGTTCGGCTTGAAAGAAGTTAGATCTGAAATTTTGGCTTATAGCTTGACATTTTCATATCAATTTAAGCTTGTTGTACAAGCCAAAGTTTGAATCAATTTTCAAGCGATTGTCGTTGTTCAATCTAAATTCATAAATCTATGCTATATACCAAACATTTTCTATGTATTGCCAAATATTCCACCAAATTTGAATTATGGGGATGTCCTACAATGGATTTAGACTACGACTTAACCTGAAATTAGGCTAAATCCTAGCCAAGCCTCGCTATGGGCAAAATAGAATCGCGGATTCCGTAAATCTGGATTTCACGGATTTGGCACGTAAAGCTCGGATTTAGTAAATTCTACAAACAAATGTATTATTGAGATTTAACTTTGCCGACTACCCAACATTATTTGAGATTTAACCCTTTTTGAATTTAATAAATTTAGATTTACATGATTGAGTAAAACCTAATAATTGAAATCTGGATTTATTTAATTTGCCAAAATCCATAAAATCCAACACTAATGTCATTACTTATGTCATTCTAATTACCCTTTGCACTTGGAGACAAAATGCAAAACAAATTTATCCGTGAAAGAGGGTTGGTGATCTAGCTAGGAGAATATATGTTTTAGGTTTGAATTAAGTTAAGAAAGGTAGAAGTAGACCTAACAAGACTTGTTCGTGTTAACCTAAATAATTAGAATACATGTATATACATAGCACACAATTCTTATATCCTTACATACACATATCATACTTCCTTCTTGGTGTGAGCAAGCTTTCCTTCCTCACTGGTTTTAGTGAAGAGGAAGAAAGGCGCGAGCAAGCTTACCTTCCTCATTGCTTAAAGGTAGGATTGGAGCGGAAGGATGAGAAAGATGAGAGTTTTGATAGTCTCTGTCAGTCACGATCCTATCGTTGCCTTTCCAAGCTAGCTCAAATCGGGAGGAATTTAGGGTGAAATCTGGAGAGGAGGATTAAAATAAGTTGAGCATGAGCAAAATTAAAGAATGGTGCGAACAAGCATACCTTCCTAGCTAACCCAATTATTTTTGGTAAGAGCGGAGTTGAAGCAAGAGAAAGATGAGAGTTTCGGTTGTCTCTATGAGTTGCAATCTATTCATTATCTTCCCAACTATCTCAAATTATGATTGCAAGTTGTGATCCCATCATTGTCTTCTTAGCTAGCTAAGAAGGCGAGGGTATTGGACAAAATTGGGGAGGGCAGCGAAGAAGGATTCGGGCACATTTAAGAGAATAAAGGCGGAAGTAAAGGCTTTTGGCTTCGTTGAAAAAGACCCTCCACAATTGCTTGGACACGATTTTTAACCATCAGTTCTAAACAACATCATAACTGACGTTTAAAGCCGTTGGTTGTCATCACACTCTTCGGTTTATGATACAAGAAAAATAACTCTTTTAATTATCGATAATTTTTAGCATCAGTTCTAAACAACAACATAATCAACGTTTAAACCCATCAATTATCATAGCAAGTACGTCAATTTATGAGCTAGGAAAAACAACTCTATTAATTACTTAATATTTTTGGCAATCAGTTCTATACAACATCATAGCTGGCATTTAAAACCATCGGTTGTCATCAAGTGCTCGTCAGTTTATGACCTAGGAAAATCGACTTCACTAATTACCAATGACTTTTGGCTGTTGGTTTTTATTCAATGTTTAACCAACGATTTATACGGTCAAAACATCTAAATATGATGTCAGATAATTTTTGAGATAACTGACGGCTTGAGAAGTAGTTATGCAGCCATAAATTAACTCCCTGGTATTCCGTTACGAAATTGTAGGAAAGTGAAACATTATTTTAGGCACTTACAAAATTGTTAATTATGTCGTCAGCTATAACTAGTTTTCCTGTAGTGTCTATTTTTTCAGCTCGTTGATTTACAAAAGCACGAATTCCCTAGTTCAATCCATCATTCTCCTTGATCTTACTCAAGGTGAAAATGATGTTCTTGTAGAGTTTATGTATCAACTCCACACTGACAACATTTTTCAGAATATTGAATTATTTTGAGACAAAGAGTATTGTATTGTTCGTAAATGCATACAACCTAATAAAGACCTTATATCACTTAGAGAGAGAGATATAGAAAGAGAAATAGAGAGAGAGAGAGAGAGAGAATTAATGGATGGGTAGCCTCAAATTGAATTTATATCTCTGGTGAGATGAAAAAATTTTGCCTCTAGAGTTTCCCTGAGTTACAAGATTTAAGAGAGAGAAAGTGCGAGAAATTTCTCTTTAGAAAAGTCCAAAAGTCCTCTGCTATCTTCTTTTTTTGCTTTCTTTTTTTAAACAAGGGTGAAATGCAATAAAATAATAAATGATATACACTTTATGTCGTACGACGTCTTTCCCTTTTGTTTTGATGAAAATACTACGAAGTAAATGTCAGGCGATGCTAGTATATCATCCATCCGTGGTGTGAAGGTGAAAATGCAGAGTCACAGATGTTTAGTGACACTTCTAATAATGGATATGAGATGTTGATCCCGGTTGAATATGGTTGTACAAAATTTATAAAGTTGACTCTGCTTTACAACGATGCCAAAAACTTGATGTGGTATTTTAGTAATAATAATGTTAAGCTCTTAAGATTGAGATTCTACGCAAGTATACGTATCGTTATCAAGTAATATAAGACTTTCTGTTTAAGTCAAAATGATAAATGAATTTAAAATGATAAATTAACTAAGAAATTTATGGAAATCAAATAAAATTACTGTCACCAATTTCGAACGTTTAAGATACTATCAAAGCTAAATTATTTACTACAAGCAAAATTTAAAAGCAAGTTTTAAAATTAATAACTACTAAACTAAGTTTATGTGATGAAGTTTTCTAATATGAAAAAACATCTTTTCCACTACAATGAGTTTTGGTGAAATGAGATGAGATAATTGGTTTATATATATATATATATATATATTGTGTCAAATATGAGCAATTTTAATTCTCTACCCTGATTAAGTGTTATAGAAAATCATTGGTTATTCTTAGGTTTAGTCCTTGAATCTGTGGCTAGGCTAGGAGGATACTGGTTCCCACTCCAGAGCTCCCACTTCCCTTCCCCTTGAAGGCTAACTCTCGCTCTAGTTTTTAAACATTAAGATCAAATTGGGATTTTTAGTCTGTCACCTTAGAAATTTCCAATTCTACACCCAACAAAGTATATTTTCCTATTTATTTGCACTTTCCTATAACAAAGTATATTTTCCTATTTATTTGCACTTAATTCCATGAACAAAATACTCATTATGGACTTAAATGTGATTTTCACTCTGGTGTAAAACTCATACTCCATTTCCCGAATCATATGTTTCACAACAAATTTTAACAATTCAATTGACCAGATTGAAAAGTAAATTAAAAGTGGAGTTGATACAACATTATCTCTTCATTTATTTTAAATTTTAACATTGACACATCCACATTATCTCTTCATTTTACCAAATCTCATAGTAGAGAGAAGATAAAGGAAACTACTCAGATTTCATGATAAAGATACAACAAAATACAAATTTCATATATAAAAGAAAATTCATACAACAATAATAAATAAACAACACTTATCTGAAGTTCTTTCTCAAAACAAATCCTTTGTAGCCTCTCTTAAGAATTGTAGAAAGAAAAAATCTCTCACTTATCTTCCCTCCAACATTCTTTAGAGAAGAATTCACATTTAAACTCACCAAAAAAACTCAAAACTATAATTAACTAATGGTGTGGAATGGCGTGGAATGTAGGTGTGTAAAGAGGAAACTGAATTGAGTGGAAGAAGTTGAAATAGTGTGAAAGGGGGAGGGTTTTTTATCAAAATTTGACCCTAAATAGAGCCTAGGTCGATTCTTCTATAGGCGCACCAAAAAACACTTAAAAAAATGTCCAAATTCATCGAATCTTCTAGAAACAGGGCTTCCACCAACATAAGCGCCGCCGACGCCCATCCTGGCTCCGTCGGCGCCAGTGCTCCACTAATTAATTCCTAAGTCTCTGTCAAAAGGCGTCATCGGGGCGCGTCATCGGGGCCCAGTTTGGCATCATCGGCGCGTGCTCTTGTTCTGTATCCTTTCTATAGATCTGCGCCGTCCGACATCCTTCTGGCATCGTCGGCGCTAAGTAATTCTTCTAAATCTCCATTTTTATTCTAAATTTCATCATTTTTGCTTTATTTTTGCTTCAAGTCCCAAAAATTAACAACCTGCACCTGCAAAAAAACATGAAAAATACATTTCTTTAAAGTGCAATATCACCAAAAATGGGTATAAAATATAAGTTAAAAAATACATATATTTTTGGTGCATCAGATTTTCTTACTGGTCATAATGACCCTCTCCGATAATTACCCTCTCACAAGTGAGTTAGGCTATTCTTTCAAGAGAAAAAGATTCAACCACTTAAGCAGGTGGGCTTGATTTAACTACTCCGGCAGGTTGGCTCAATTCAACCACTCCGCAGGTGGGCTCAATTTAGCCTCTTCGGTGGGTGAGCTCTATTCAAGAAAATTTTAAAAAAAAATTCTCATATAACCGTATTTGTGTATACAAGTAGATTGCTTGTATAATTATTCTTTCAATTTCTTTTTCAATAGTTGTCGTTCTGCCACATTATTAGGTTGTAATAATAAGTTTAATTGTTAATAAAATGTTAATTTTATTTTATTTATGCTAATAAATTTGATTTATCACTACTTGGGTATGACTTTTCTCTTCTGCACATAGAATATGATTTTATATTCCTTCTTCACGCCCCATGTTGTCTAGGTCCTCCATCTTTATGACTCGGGCGAACTGTTTGTCATACCTTGGTTGCGGTAATTGTATCCTCGTTGGCTTTACGCCCAAAGGGATGTTGAGTGAGTGTGTTGTGTTAATTTAGTTGTCTCTAGAAATTGTTTATGTATTCTTGCACATTTTTCATGTGGATTAGGAGGTTATGAAAACCGTTTTGTGGTTAGGCGGTTAGGAAAACCGTTGAGTGGTTAGTTAGTTTTTATTTTCAGAAAAATGTGTTGTGTAGTTATTTGTATTTGCTTATATATTTAAAAAAAACCAGAAAATATAATGGGTGTTAAAGTACTAAAAATTCCTCCATTTTTGTTGGCGTTTAATGTTTGGCTTTGACAACCAACATTTGGTATCAGAGCGAAGTTGTCAAGGAAATGACCGGAAATGATGTAGATCCATCTAAGACACTTGCTGTCATCAAACCGACGACAAGAGGAGCCTCAATCCCTATCCAATCTCCAATGTTAAGTGAAACGAACTACAGCATATGGGCTGTCAAGATGAAGATAATCTTGCGTTCACTAAGAGTATGGTCAGTGATTGAAGGTGAAGAAAAAGACGATGACAAAGATCAAGGCGCCATGGTAGCCATTTCTCAAGTCGTGCCGGATGACGTGATGATGGTAATCGCGGAGAAAGAGACGACAAAAGAGGCTTGGGACGCACTCAGGGAGATGTGAGTCGGTGAAGATCGTGTTAAGAAGGCATGCGTACAGGTGCTGAAACAACAACTGAACAAGTTACACATGGAGGATTCAGAGACAATAAATGAATTTTCCATGAAGCTTACCACGCTGGTGGGTGAGATCCGCTCACTGGGTACGAAGTTCGACGATAGTGAAGTTGTTGAAAAATTGTTCAGTGCAGTTCCAGATAGATTTCTCCAAATTATTGGAACAATTGAGCAATTTGGCGATACAAAGAAGATGCCAGTATCAGAGGCGATAGGTAGTCTCAGAACCTTCGAGGAAGGGCTTAAAGGGCGACTGCACTCAAAGGGTAGTGGAGAACAGTTACTCCTTACCCACGCCGAGTGGGAGGCAAGAATCTCAAAGGCAAAGAAAGATGAAGGTTCCAACAACAACAAAAAAGGAGGACATCACAGGAGAGGATGTGGTCGTGGGCGTGGATATGGTGGAGGTCGAGGTGAAGACCTAAAGCCACGTAACTTCAACAAATCCAAGGTTAAGTGTTTCAATTGTAATGAATATGGTCATTTTCCAAAAGAGTGTCCCAAACCAAACCGAAGAGAAAAAGCAAACCTTGTTACAACGCAAACCGAAGATGAACCAGCACTGTTGATGACAGAAATTTGTGTTCTCAGCCACGCAATACAGAACGAGCAGGTGTTATTGCATGAAGACAAGGTGGTGCCAAAGTTTAAAAACACCCGAGAGAAGGCTTGGTATTTAGATACCGGTGCAAGTAACCACATGACTGGTTGTATCGAAAAATTTGCTGAAATTGACACGACAATTAAAGGGTCGGTCAAATTTGGAGATGGCTCGACTGTAGAAATCCAAGGAAGAGGTTTGGTTTTGTTTGAAGGCTTCACAGGTGAACATTGAATACTTACTAATGTCTACTACATCTCGGTGTTGAAGAGCAACATAATAAATCTAGGCCAGTTAGATGAGAACGGATGCAAAGTTGAGGTTGAAGGAGGTGTTATAACTATTTTGGACAGATCACAAAGGCTACTAGCAAAAGTGAACAGGTCAAGCAACCAATTATATATGTTTAACATAACACCAGTTCTCCCTGAATGCCTTCTGGCTAGGAGCAAAGAAGAAGCATGGCGATGGCATGCAAGATATGGGCATGTAAATTTTCAGGCTTTAAAGTTTCTAAGTCAGAAAAAGATGGTGCACGGCTTGCCCGAAATCGAGCATGAAGACCGCATCTGTGATGGTTGTTTGATTGGAAAGCAACACCGAAATCCTTTTTCAGCAGTGGCAAAATTCCGAGCAGAATCACCTCTTGAACTGTGGTATGGAGATTTGTGCGGCCCAATTACCCCTGCTACTCACGGAGGGAAGCACTATTTCTTGTTGTTGGTTGACGATTGTACAAGATTTTTGTGGCAGGTGCCGATCCGAGACAAAGATGAAGCATTTGAGGCATTTAAGAAGGTCAAAGCTGCAGCCGAAATGGAGAAAAATAGTAAGCTGAAAGCTTTGCGGACGGATCGTGGCGGCCAAGTCAAAATTCATCTCAAATGAGTTCAAAACTTACTGTGAGCTGTTGGGAATTAAACGTTATCTCACGGCGCCTTATTCTCCTCAGCAGAACAGAGTTGTTGAACGAAGAAATCAGACGGTGGTCGGCATGGCAAGGAGCTTGTTGAAAAGTATGGAAGTCCAGGGTAAATTTTGGGGAGAGGCGGTATCAACTGCAGTATATATCTTAAATAGAGCACCAATAAAGAGCGTCATCGGCAAAACTCCCTATGAAGCATATTATGACCGCAAGCCAAGTGTCGATCATTTTCGTATTTTCGGTTGTCTTGCACATGTAAAAGTAATTACACCGCATCTTCCGAAGTTGGTTGATCGTAGCAAGCAAATGCTGTTCATTGGTTATGATATGAACACGAAAGGCTATCGAATGTTTGATCCAGTGACAAGACGAGTTGTGGTGACACAAGATGCAGTATTCAAGGAGAAGAAGAAGTGGGAGTGGAGTAAAGCTCCAGTAACAGGTACAAGATCAGCAGGGAAAACTCTTACAACACATTATTTTACCATAGCAAACGCATCTAATACGACAAATCAGGAAGATAAAGAGACGTTCAACGGTTCCGGTATTGATATCAGAAATTCTGGTATGGATTTCCCACAGCCGACACTGGAAAAAACTGATAACCAATACCAGCATGCTTCACCAATGATGAACATGAGATCCAGAACATCTGTTTCAGATTCTGATTCATTGATACCACACACTCCAGATACAACTTTTGATGCTCTTGATGGTTCGGCCTCGACAGAAATAGTGCAACCCACAACATCTGATGAGAGTTCATTAGCAGGACCACGGGGTAAGCGTGACATCAAAAGCCTTTACGATGAAACCTTCCCAATAGAACTAGAGTATTTGGGATTGTGTTTGCTATGAGAGGAGGAGCCATCAACTCTCGAAGAAGCTAAGGCAGACCCGATGTGGAGAAAAGCAATGGAGGAGGAAATTTCTTCCATTCGAAGGAATGAAACCTGGAAGCTTGTTTCATTACCCGAAAGCCACAAACCTATAGGTCTAAAATGGGTTTACAAGCTAAAGAATGACACTCAAAGAAGAATTGTGAAGCACAAGGCGAGATTAGTGGCAAAGGGGTACGTTCAACGACAAGGCATAGACTTTGATGAAATTTTCTCCCCTGTTGCTCGGTTAGAGACAGTACGTTTGCTACTCTCTATTGTGCCACATGAAGGATGGGAGGTTCATCATATGGATGTGAAGTCAACCTTCCTCAATGGTGATTTGGAAGAGGAAGTGTATGTCACTCAATCGTCGGGATTTGAAATAAAGGGAGAAGAGCCCAAGGTGTTAAAACTGCACAAAGCATTGTACGGTTTGCGACAAGCACCTAGAGCCTGGAACTCAAAACTGAACAAATCATTGAGGACACTCGGTTTTGAGAGGTGTTCTTTAGAGCATGTCGTGTACATGAGAAATCAAGGTGTTGGAGTTTTAATTGTTGGA